CGCCCCCGCCGCCCCCTCCCCTCCCGCCGCCGCTGCGCGCCCGGGGTCCTCCTAGCGCCTGTCTCCGCTCGGCTCCCATCGTCACCCTCGGCCCCTGCCCCTGCCCCGGTGGTCCCCAACCCCCAGGAACCCCCAGTCGCTGTCCTCAGAGCCCCTGTGGCCCCAGCCCCATCACCGCCCTCAGGGTCCCGGTCCCTTCTCACCTCCTGTCACCTCCTCCGTCCCCGCCACCACCCTCAGAGCCCCTGGCCCTTTGTCCTCAGCGCCCCCAGCATCACCCTGAGTTCCTGTCTCCTGTCCTGAGCGCCCCTGTCACCTACTCAGCCTTCAGCCCCCCGTCACCTCCCCAAGCCCATCGTCCCCCTCGAGAGTCCCCGTCTCCCCAGTGCCGCTGTCACCTCGTTGCCGAACACCCCACTGCGCCCCTCAGTGCCCCTGTCACCCCCTCAGCAACCCTGTTACCTTCTGCAACCCCATCCCCTCAGCTCTTCTGGCTCCTTACAGTGCCCCTGGCACCTCCTCCGTGCCTCCATCGCGCGTCTTCTGCCCTCTCTCGTACCAGCGCCTGTCGCTCACCTCTGTCTCTGGCCTCACCCGCACCATCTCTGCCCCGCACCTCCTGCCTCAGCCTCCTTCCTCTCCTCCCGATCTCATTCATCCGCCACCTCGTTGTTCTCGTCCCAGCTGAAGTCCCCTGTCAGCTCAGCAAGCGCTCCCCCTTGGACCCTGCCTCGTCCTGTTCTTGAAGACCCTGTGACTGCCTCGGCCTGGGGATGGCTCTTTCCCTCACAAAACTGCCACCCAAGCCCGGGTGTCCCGGAGCCCCATAGCGTCCTGCTATATGTGCTTCTGACCCCTCTCAAGACTCGGCTGATTTCCCCTCAGCAATCTAGGTGCTGCATCCAGCTTCAGCCCCTTTCATCTCGCCCTAGTGATTACCAGTTTCCTCTCATTCTCATCCCTAAACCCACTCAGCCGTCACAGATTTTCTTTTTCCTACCACTTCAGCCTTGCTTTCCCAAGAAACCCACTTCGTCTTCTTTTTTTCATAGCATTTCCTGTTCTTACGCACTCTTCCCCTCCTTTCCTTTTCTTCCATTTCTGGGTTTCTATTTTAATATTTTTCAAACAGAGGAAGAAGGGATTTCCTCTCAGGAAATTTAAAAAGACAAAATGAAACAACTCTAAATATCGGCCCTGCATCATGAAAACAGGGTTTGATAAACTGAGAGAAGAGACTCACCAAAAATATTCCCAGAGGGGGCAAAAAGGGACTCCTTTTTCCCATGAGATAAAAGCTACCTCTCATACAATGTCAAATCTGTTCACAGTTTCCAGCTATGAATATTTTAAAACAGTCTCAAAAATCCCTTTGCTGAGGACTCTGAGTCACCTACTTCTTTCCGAGCCCCAGCCCATGTGATATGCATGAGTTAGATTGAAAAGTTCCCTTAAAGGGGCTTCCTCTTGCAGAAACAGTATCAAAAAAGTCAAGATAGAACAGGAGATTGCAGATTTCTAGCCAGTCCAGAAGAAAGAGCACCCTGTGGCCTCCCTAGTTATTGAAACAAATTTCTGTTCAGGGAGGAAGGGAAGAGCAGAGGGTTTAATCATTTGGCAGTGTTCCAAAAGTAGGATAAGGAATAACTGCTCAATAATTATTTTCAAACTATAGGGGATTATAAGCTATAGAGTACTGTAAATATACATGTGAAATGGGGTGATAAATACACAGTTTTGGATTAATAGAAATATATTCGTTTTGCCCTTCCCTGTTAACAGTATTTGTGTGCCTTGTAGAAAAGGAAAATGAAACCTAACAGCTGATTAAGTAACTTGGCTAAGGCATAAATCAGTCCCATTTGGGATGTGAATTAATGACATTCCCTATACCTAAAGAAAGTGCAAGAGTAAAGGAACAAGAGAATTTAATCCTTTGAAATCACCTAAATTTTAAATTTAATGTTTTGTATCATAATTGGGTGGTAACAGTTGAGAACTTATGCTCATGATTAAAATCTACATTTAACTCGGTTAATAAGTCATTAAAATGTATAGGCAGAACTGGTTAGATGGCCTTTGGGTTTTTCTGCTAGATGTTGTGTTTTAAGGACACTGATAATTCTTAACCTGTGCAGTTCAGGTAACAAAAGTAACGTGAACGTAGAAGAATTCCAGTAACTTAGAAATGGAGGACAGAAGACCTCATCTCGAGGCCAGACCCAGGAATCCTCATACTAACTACAGAGGTAAGTAAGGTTTCCCACCTAGTGAAAAAGAAATTCCAATGAATCAGAGAAAGAAATTGGGGTTTCCTGGGAGTGAACAGGCCCACCTGATTAAATAACTTTTTTTGCACCCTCCCCCTAAATAACTTTCAAATAAAGAAAGCCTTACCAGGTATGGTGGCACACATCTGTAATTTCAGCTCCTTGGGAGTTTGAGGCAGGTGGATTGCAAGTTCAAGTCCAGCCTGGGCAACATAGTAAGACCCTAACTCAAAAAGTTCATCTGGGCATAGCGGTGCATGCCTGTAATTCCAGTACTTGGAAGGCAGAGGCAGGAGTATCTCTGCAAGTTCAAGCAGCAAGACCCTGTCTCAACCAAACCAAACAAAAATAAAAAATTAAGAAAGGGCTGGAAATGTAGCTCAGTGGGAGAGCACCCTGCTGGGTTCAAACCACCTAGCGTGTTGGGGGGGACCCTTAGCTATGGCTTGAATGACTGAAAAACAGAGCCTTCCCTCTTTCGCTTGAGAGAAGTGATGAATGGATACAGTTCACTTGAACAAAACAAGTGATGCAGTATCAGGAGTGGAAATAACTCTTGGTTTGGAACAGTGCTATCCAGTACTATCTAGGAACATAATACAAGCCAAAATATAATTTTTAATTTTTTAGTAGCATCAATTTTTAAAAAGAGACAAATGGAAAAAATTTTAAGTTTAATATTAATAAAACTTAATGATCTAATGTGTCGTACTTAATATATCTAAAATACTGTCAATGTATTGTAATTGAATATACTTTATATCATGATATGTTAATAATTTTAATATTTTTCTTTCCTCTCAAATTTTTAAATATTAGCCACAAGTGGTAAGTGGCTATATACTGTAAGGCTAGAGTACTATTATCAAATCAAAGTTAGTTCCAAGAACATCACTCTACTAAAGGAAGTATTCTGTTTTCTCAGAACTTTTGTTATAAAACAACTGTTGGGTTCCTGTATTTCTTTCATTGATTTATTTAATTATTTATTTTATGAAACAGTAAGAATTTTGCCGCAGAGTGATAAGAGAATAGCAGTAGTCAGTACACTGTGTACACTGTATCATTACTGTCCTGTTTTTTCTTAAGTTTGCAATATGCCTTTTGAGGTTTAACTAGAACAAGAGGAAGAATTGTGGGACTTTGTCTTACAGGCTGTGTGAATGTTTAAAGAATGAGAAATGGGGGCTGGGGATTTAGCTCAGCGGCAAAAGCGCCTGCTTGGCAAGCGCAAGGCCGTGAGTTCGGTTCCTGGTACCGGAGAAAAACCAAAAAAAAAAAAAAAAAAAAAAAAAAGAATGAGAAATGATAGTTTTCCATTCCTTCAAGATAATAAGTCTTCAGTCAGATCAAAATATTAAAATAGGATTTTCTTCTAATTTAGAGAGTTTGAAAAGTAATATTAAAATAACAGTTATAAAAACATTGCAGTCTGGTTGTACATCATTTATATCTTGCCAAATAATTGTTTATGTTACCAAAATTTTTCCTACAGAGTACAAAAACAATTGTACATAAATGGATTTAGTGTCTGATGTCATGAAATGATGATTATCTGATGTGTGTTTATAACTTTCATACCAGTAAATTATCAAAGAACTGTATACAGTCTTGTTTTTAAAATCTTGATATCATTCTGCTAAGTTGAGTCAGCTTGAGAATTAGTTTTGAAGGACAGGGAAGTGAAGAAAACTGGACTTTGGGTATGTTGGGTGAAAAGTCACTTATGAAATACATGGCAGAACAAAGAGGAGAAGTTTGGGTTCACCCAAAGTGATATTAGCATTCCTGCATGTACTGTGTTCTCACCCTCCGCCTCCCCCAATTTCCTGTGTGAGTGTTAGTCAAAACTGCCATGTAGGTGAAGTCATGATACAAAAAGAGGAAAACTTGAGTTTTTTTTTCAGTTTCCTAATCAAGGGTTCAGTTTAATATTTCAGTTTTCCAAAACGAAACTTGATATCCGTGTTTCAGTTTCCTTCACTGCCTGTTAATTAGCTGAAAAAAATATCTCAGTAGAGAAAGCTATGTCTTCCCCTTTCAAACTACATTTACTGCTGCTGGACAAACTTCAGGTAGTATTTTCCTTCATAGTTTTATTCCACTTGAGGTCTTCCTTACCTGTAAGAATTGTTTAGCAGAACCAGCAACTACAATAAGATATCCCCAATAAAAAGTTATTGCTGCTACTGCTAGTAACAGCTAAGATTCACTGAGAACTTCTCATGTGTCAGGTACTGTTCTATTCATTTTATATAAACATTTAATCTATACCAAGCCAGATACTGAGATTCGAAGGTTACACAATGAGGAAGTGACTAAGCCAAGACTTCAACCAGGTATTTTTGGCTGCACAATTCATGCTCTGACTATTGTTTGATATTGGCCAGAAACTAGAGCCAATCAGCTAGTCTATACTGCATGTATGTAT